GCTGGGAAGGTTCTGGGCGGTGAGGGTGGCCTCTCCCGTGGGTCTCGGCGGGGAGGGGCCGGGACGCCGCGGAGGGCCAGGCGGCTTGGAGCCCCTCTGAAGCCCGCGTCCCTCCCCTGTCTTGTCCTTGCGGGCTCCAGGCTCCCCATCAGCCCGGGCAGCCGGGATTTAAATTCACGGTGGCTGAGTCTTGTGACAGGATCAAAGACGAATTCCAGTTCCTGCAAGCTCAATACCACAGGTAAGGCTGGTGGGGGCGGCCCCGGGGCTGGCGGGGAGGGGGCGGCTCCTGCCACCCCCAGCGGGGACCGTGGGGCTGCCGACCCGGGGCGACAGGGCCTCCGCCTTTTGTTTCCCCTTTCGCAGCGCGCCGCCTTAACCCTTCGCTGCCCGCAGCTGCCCGGCTCTAGGTGCCGCTCCCGCATGAGGGTCGGGGTCACCTGCCGGTTTGCTCGGCTTTCTGGGGTCGCAAGCCTGCGTCAGGGGCCGCACCCCGGCGGCCAGGATAAGTCCGCTCGCCCGGCCGTGGGAAGTTTCGAGTAGTTTCGGTCCCGGTTCCCGGTGGCAGGGACCCAGCCCCCGCCCCGCCCCAGGCTGGCGGGGTAATGGGGTACCCCCTGGGTATCAGGGAAGTGGAGAAGTGTCTCTCGGAGGCCCTTGGGTTGGGTCCGGGAGGAGGTCGTGCAGGTGCCAGGCCTGAGCGGTTCCTCCTGCCCTCGCAGCCTCAAAGTGGAGTACGACAAGCTGGCGAACGAGAAGACGGAGATGCAGCGCCATTATGTGATGGTGAGAGGCGGCCCGGGGAGGGGAGCAGAGGGCAGGTCGCAGACCCTGTCGGGTCGCAGCTGGGATCTGCGGAGGCAGGAACCTAGTCCCCCACCGCGGCCCAGCCGCAGGGTAGCCGGGAGAGTCATGTAATCTGAATGTGCCCTCCACCCCTTCACCAGCTTCCCTTAGCCAGGCCACTTGGAGGAGGGTAGTGAAAGGAGAGGCAGAGAGAGGAAACCCAGATTCCAGACTGGAGACCTCTGCACTACCTTTGTGTGCCTTTGATTTGTGTTTTAAAGGTTTCTCAGAGGGCCGGTGGCCCTGTCTTGGCTAGTGAGGTAGGATTGGATCATTCCGCGTCAGGATTGGGTAAAAATCCCTCTTGGAGACCTCCTGGGGATGTTTGGAAACTTTTCTACTTTGCAGCCTTGGGATCCAGCCAGAGTGGGACAGAAGCACCCTCCCTCCTCAGGGTTTTCTGAGAAGTAGAAGAGCCTTTTAAATCTCTCTGCCTTCACGTCCCTCCTCAGTAAAGAGTCTTGTCTGCTGTGGGATCATAGATAGACATCTCCCCCTTTACCCAGTGTCTGTTCCAGCAAGTTTACATCTTCTGTTTGTCAGAGGGTATGGGAGGCCCTAAAGCATACTCCCTGTGCCTCTTTCCACATAAGAGGCTTTCTACACAGTGCTAAATAACTCTCAGAGGACAAGGGGGGCCCAGTGTACACACCATTCCCTGTTGAGCCCGCACCTTGTATAAACAGGATATATGGCACATGTGGTGCTTGTGGGAGGGAGGGCCTGGCTTTTCTTACTACTGTGTATGTAATGTTCTGTTGAGATGAGAAGAACACTCGCCCACTCGCCTGATGCCAGCGCTTAAACCTCAACATGGGCTGGCTTTGGTGTTTGTTTTAAACTTCCATAACTCATGGATCATAAAGTATGGTTTTGCCAAAACCTTCTCAGGAAAAAAAAATGATGTTGAAACATGAACAGATTTCTGTGTTGTCTTTTAATGGCAGTTCTCTTTACTTTTAGTACTATGAGATGTCCTATGGCTTGAACATTGAAATGCACAAACAGGTAAGTGCTTTTCTCTTTAAGAAATGAATTTGGTTTTTAAAAACATATGTGTGGACTTCTGTGACTCCCCTTGTTTGAAAATGAGCTGGTTCTTCTGTTCCTCTCACTTCTCCCAGAGTAAGTGGATCTAGTCCTTGAAATGCAGGTGTTGAGTCTTGGCAGATTTCTTGGACATGTTGAGCTTTTAGCATTGGAGCTTGTGAAATTAGTCCTGGTCTTGGATCTTGGTGGAGGATAAAGGACCAAAGAGAAAGTCATACCTACAGGATTTGCTTTACAGACTCCTGAGAACCTAGAGCTGGCTGACTGCTTTTATCTGTTTTAATGTAAAACCCTCCAGAGGAAATGCAGTAGGTTTTTTTTTTTTTT